ACATTGGCTCCGTTTATTGTCAAATTTGAAGACTATTTAGCTAATAAGCTATTTCTGCTCTACAAGAAATATTTGTTACATCATCTCACCTTCAAAATATCCAAAATGGCTGGGAAATTGATCTTACTAATTAACGGATAATTCCAGTCCCTTTCTAGGATTTCTTTCGTACTTTCCTGTTTTCAAAAAAAAAAATGGATATATTAATTGCCTTTTGTCAAATGAGAACAAAAACTGAAACTGCACAAAAACATAACTTTCAATTCTCTATAATAATAAATAACTTACAGGATGAAAATGACTACATGCTAAAATCAGTAACAATCTATCTATAGAACAGTTTATCCAGCCTTTTTCTAACTCGACTATATTTGGTAGAATTCTCTTCTTATATACTTTATCAACACACTGAAAAAGACAAAGAATGAAATATCTACAAATCGTAATTACCTTTGTTTGTTGGCGTAATGAGCCTCGTTCTGGATACAATATGGCCGACGTATGAATAAGGTCTATACGACATGCCATGATACACATATTTCATGAGCCTCGTTCTGGATACAATATGGCCGCCGTATGAATAAGGTCTATACAACATGCCATGATATTCATATGTTATGGTGAAATCTTAAATTTGATAATATGCGATACCAGGCTCACTAGACTAATATTCATACTCATTCAAATACATGAAGATCAAGTCATTAAAAAAAAAATATCTTAAATACATAAATCATAATCAGACATTTTGGTCGTTTAATCAGTCGACGCTGGCAGATCGAAGAAAAAATACAGTCCTAGAATACTAATAATACTACTAACACTCAGTCAAAGATGCAGATTCACTACCAGTAGGGCTCACCATGCCACTACTTATTAGACGGTCAAAAGACACCAAGACAAAATCCCTAGTATTTGTTCTGACACAAAGATCCCGAAGGGATTTTCTCTTCTGCTAATTTCAGATTATCTACAGTGAAATGTACAGAACCAGGATTTACGAACATCTAATTATCAACAAACACTTTGTTTATTTAAAGAACTTAAAACTTAAGTCCTGTGCCTGTACTTTCATAAAGTCAAAGTACAAAGTTACAACCCTTACTCCCCAATACGTGAAAGTTGATGAAACCTAACCTACCTTTTGTACGAGAAGAACTAAAGCTTGTGATGTAATTGATTGTAGATACATTTTTTCACGTCCGAGTTTTAATAACGATTTTAATATACGACTCATATATTCTTTACCCTCTCCCTACAAATAAAAGACAATATAGTTTTATTGAAAGATACCCATTAAGGGAGGCTCGAACCCACAGCACCGAATAACCAGGGAGCATATCAAGTAGCAACAACTTGATGGACTAATTGAAATCCATGCCATCAACCAAACTCATCCAGTATAAACACTTGAAACAA